TCAGCAGAATGAATTATTATTCCCTTGGGTTCCGAGTGGAACAAAGGGCTTCAACAACACATCTCCACTTTGTTCTGTTTTCTGCCGTCCTCTTCAGCTGGGTTCACGACTGCGCATAATAAATTAGTACCTTTATGGTATATCTTACAAAATTTGTCCTCTCAGATAGTCAGTCATCTGATTCTGCTATTCATTCGTTGTCGTTAAATCGGGAATGCGAAGAAATGTCTGGACGGACTGTGCGTTGACAGTCCTTTATGTTTCAATTATATAACAGCTGAACATGAGACTTCGTCTTTAAATGTGAACCGCATACAAGTAAGTAAAATGTCTGGCTTGTAATCAAGAGGCAATTAATCCGAATCACGTTGTAACCAGTAATTTCGTTTCAGCTTTAACCATAAAGTCACCACCACTTATTTATTTTGAGGATACTTTGTACATTTTGATGAATAAAGAGAAATATTCGTAGTTAAAATGTTAAACAATTGCAGTCGCCAGTGTATCAGTAGTGCTGAGCTATCGGTAATTTGAAACGAGGCAAAGCGGCAGGACCCGACGGAATTATTCCGGAGGTGTTTAAATATGGGGGTGACATACTAGTATATAGTTTAACTAAGGTACCAGGTAACGTCTGGGAATCAGAGACGGTTCCATCAGATTGGGGTAAGTCACTTATTATACCAATATTCAAGAAGGGAGACAAGTCCTCATGTGATAATCAAAGAGGAATCAGCCTAACGAACATAGTCTCTAAAATCCTAGGCTCAGTAATCATGAACAGACTAAGCCGAACTCGGGAGGAACAAACGAGGGAAAATCAAGCGGGCTTTAGGCCAGGTAGAGGGTGCATAGATCATATCTTCACTCTCCGACAGATCCTAGAACATAGACACACTTTTAGGCGTCCAACAATTGCCATATTTCTTGACTTGAAGGCGGCCTTCGACTCCGTGGATCGAGAGGTACTATGGCAATGTTTGACTGTGAAGGGAGTGCCAAGAAAGTACATCGCACTAATCAAGGCACTCTACTCAAACTCACGTAGCTGTGTAAGGGCTTATGGGGAATTGTCATCTGAATTGATAACAACCAGTGGTGTCCGTCAAGGATGTCCACTTTCCCCTTTCCTGTTTAACTTCATCATAGATATGCTAATGGAAGTATCCTTAACTGAACTTAACGACTTAGGAATCGACTTGCTACCAGGGAATAGTCTTATAGACTTAGAATACGCAGACGACATAGTCCTGTTAGGGGAGGACGCTGACAAAATGCAGAGTCTTCTGAACACCTTGAGCAGCAATCTTCGTATGTTTGGCATGCGATTCGCCCCTGTGAAATGTAAGATGCTGCTACAGGACTGAACTGCGTCTACCCCTAGCTTAGTGATAGGGACTGAAGTGATAGAACATGTTGACCACTTCACCTATTTGGGAAGTTGTATCAGCACCAACGGATTGATTGGTGACGAAATCTCAGCACGGATCCAGAAAGCTCGGGCTGCTTTCGCTAACTTACACCGTCTCTGGCGTAGGCAAGACATCCGGCTATCAACCAAGGGACGTGTATACTGCTCAGCAGTTCGCTCCGTCCTTCTCTTTGGCGGTGAGACGTGGCCATTGAGAGCGGAAGACATGAAGAGATTGTCTGTTTTTGACCACAGATGTTTACGATCTCTTTCTCGCGTTAGGTGGTATAATAAGGTAAGTAATGTTGACGTTAGGCGTAGAGTGTTGGGCAAAGAGGGAAAATCACTCGAAGAGGCTATGAAGTTACATAGATTGAGATGGTTAGGCCACGTACTGCGCATGCCTAGCCATCGTCTCCCCCGACGGGCATTACTAGCTGATATAGGTGCAGGTTGGAAAAGAGTAAGTGGTGGCCAAACAAAAACATGGCATCAATCCATGAAATCCCTGACAGTTAAACTGGGTCAGGTAGGGAGATGCAGACTTCCGGTTTGGGGCCCTCGGGACTCTAAGAATCAATGGCTGGAGACAATAGGTGACATGGCTCAAAATCGTTGTCAATGGCGCAAATGTATTCAGTCTCTTTAACCTTCATATTCCTTTCTACCATTACTCATTCTGTTTCACTGTTATACTTATCTAAATTCTATTGATTCTCTTCACTCATTTTCCTGTCTACCTTTGTGTGCTATTTGGAACGTGGCAACTCGAACTGCTGCACTTCGGTGCCAAGTTCTATGTTGAATCCAGCAGCAGCAGCAGCAGCTGATTATAAGTAGTGTTCAGAGGTAACGTGAAACTTGATTTACGAATGAGAAATCCAATGATATTGTTAACATACAAAATCTGAATTAATGTTCATAGCAAGCAATTAGAACATCTTGTGCAATTCTTGGTTCTCGTACTAAGAACACCTATCAGGGCAAATGCCTTGAAGAATTAGTACTGATGGTGATAGAACAGAAACAAAAGTAACGTTTAAAAATAACCAATACATTTTCTGTACAGAAACTATGTTCAATAAAGTGTTGAATGTGCACCATAACGACTAATAATTAGAAATAGCGTAAAGCATTTTTCAATTTTAAAAATTCCACACTTCTCACTGTTTGCCTTTAATTGAATACACTGTCATTTCGGCTTGCCTATGAAACAATTATCCATTTATTGTCATAATAAATCAACATGCTAGAACTTGTGCTAACTGATTATTTTAGTGCTGATTGGGAGATAATAACATCACAATAACGATATGATACACAACTGATGTTGTAGAAAGCGTATTACAACTATTTCCACCCGATTAACGAGTAGTTCACACCCATTTCGGTGCTATATATCATCTGTTTGTGATGCGTTATAGTTAACAATGTCAACAAGACTTTATTCTACAGACTAAAATATTACTGATGCAAATATTTACTGTTGCCACAAGAATTAACCAGGATTGCTGTCAACTTCGTAGTACATTAAGATGTTCACTTAAAAATAGATAAAATGAAGAAGATTGTCAATTTTTGTTTAATATTATTATTTCATGTAACTCATATAAGTGTGGATGCATATTACACACAGTTCTTTAATATAGCGAAAATATTCATTCAAACATCTATAAAAAAAAAAACAGAATAATTGAGCAAAGAATATCCTTTTCGATAATTTCCTCTTCTGGATTCTTATTCTGGATTTCCGAACATCACCCTGTCTGGTTAAGTGAATGATAAACAAAATCTATTCGTAGCGCTATTCTATCTCATCTTGTGGATACAGAACACAAGATTAATTTCAACGAGGCTTTCAAATTCATTTACCGCATAACAACAAATCTCAACTTCACCTTAAGAGTTCGTTTACTAAATATTGCTGAGGCCATTGGGATCCACATCAAGAAGCCTAATTTATGTGTCCAAAAGAAGCTAGTTCGGACATTGTCCTTACCTTGGCCATTTAGGTTTAAATGATCCTCAATTTTTTGCGGAAATTTCCTTAATTTTAGTTGATGTTCTGTTTGCCATTATATTATTATTATTATTATCATATAATGAACTGTAATTCCATTGATCTTACTTTACAAATCGATATATTTCTTAAAAAACACTAATACTGTTATGAACTACAGTTCTTTAATTCAGCACACCCATATGGCTGTAAATAACCACTTTCTTATATCAATATTTAAATTAATACACCCACCCACACACACATACACCAATACATTACTGAGTAAGCTTAAATCCATAATGATTTCACTAAGCTGTTATTTGAATAAGCGATAATTAACTATTCATACATCATCATCACCATCATAAGAGCACAAACAGCTCAGTAACCAAATGTTAAGAATGCTCTTTGAAAATAAATTACCTCAGGTAGTCTTGTAAGCAAAACTATTTCCTTATTCACACCTTTGTTCTGATGTAGGCTAACAGAAGTCACTTCCTGAAAACACTACAGTGAAAGTGAGTATTAAAACAGCTTAGATGATATTGAAACAAAGTATTAAACATTTAATTAATCTCTTCATTCAATTTCATACACTTGGCTCCCTTGACAAATTCTGATATAGCAAAGATGACCAAATCTGCAGTATAAAATGACACCATTTTATTTCACAAGTACTTATCCACTAAAAACTGCCTGAAATTACAGTGGTTATACGTGCAGTTGCGGTAGCAAGTTCATTGAAAAAACTAGAAGAGCCTCTATCCAGTGTCCTGAACACTCTCCAAGAAATTCAAGCCTAAAGGAAAGCACTTATTCACAAAGTGCAATCACTAGACTTCTCTTAGACACAAAACATTTTATCCAGATCTTCAACTAATTCGAAATATTCAAACCACACCTACTAAGATTTGCCGATGCAATTGAAATCAAACGTTTTCAACCAAACTTTTGCATACAGAAAAAGGGTGTGATCAATCTCTCACTAGCTCGGTAACTACACTTTGGTTACATTCATTCCATAATGATTTTTGTAGTAGTGATTTCAGATCACTGGTCTCATTTAAATCCTATGAACTATAATCTACAAGAGTTGCTGTGTTATCTTACAAAGTAACTCTGAGTTTTTGTTTTCTTTCGTCTCCTCCCATCTGGCATATAAATCGATGATGACGTGGATCAAAAAACTATGATGCTTACATTTTGGATGTCTTACTTTAAAGAATTTTCTCTGACATGATTCTATCAATGAGTTAATTTATTTTTATTCTTTTATAACCACTGTAACCTCAGGTAGTCTCCTCTGAAATAAAATAACATCCTCTTACAATACAAATATTTGGGCTGTTTTATTTTATCAAACAACATTCTGGCCGTCCTACTAACTAGTGACATATAAAATCCTATTTGCTCTTTGCTAACTATAATTTGGAAAAGTATGCTGATTTACTCCTTTATTTATTTTGTTCACCAATGTTAGAATTAACATTAACAAAATTTTTACAGTGAGTTTTATTTAGATAAGTTTAATACAGTTAAAAGACTGGAAAATGTTTCCATTTTTCAGTGTTCAACAGAGTTAACATGCTAATTACCCCGGGGTTTTCTTGCATACGTGGATGCATTTAATTTGTGCAGGTATTCCAACTTTTGAACACCACGTTGCCGCGATATTCCATCATAGAAGTATAGATCTATCGTAGAAGTCTATGAAGAAGGAGGTATGTATAAGCAGTTTTAAAATTCGATAGCTTTTATTTCAGAAAAAAGTTCTGTCCTGCTTATTTTTGAAAAATGCTATCTGTATTGTATGATTTGTGCTAGAACTGGTGGAAACCAAATATACTGTCATATTGTTCACAAAGAATGTTTTCAGGATGAAATAAAAAAAAGTGTTTATCGACAGGTTCCCTTCACCAAACTGTACACAAATGTTTAATTTACCGCGTGAGTGTTTAAATCCAATTGGATTCATAAAGTTGATTATATATTTTAAAAAACTATTTGATAACCACAGCAGCATAAAATACACAGGTCATTCCATTTGAATTTAAATCAAACACTATAATTTCAAACCAAATTTACTGTAGACCAAGGCTCTTCTGGTTCTGTTTGTTACTTCACCTTTTCGCAAATCTGCACTCAGCATCTCCATTACTGTTTTCTGTGATCTCCTTTTCTTCGCCCGTTTTTTTCTTCTCACACTTACTCTATCCTTCCTGCCCACGTCCTCGTCACCCGAATGATAAGGGGGACGAACAAAAGAAGAAACAGGAAAATGAGGCGGTTCCACTGAAGTTCCTTCAACAGACATTCGTTGAAATATCATTGGAGTATGATGTCCACTACTTTTTCTTAGATTAAATTTTGTTAACGCATTTGCTGCAAATAAATTTCCCGTAAATGAACTCAAGGACCCACTCACTTTTCGCATTTTCCCTTCAAAACCACTTTCTAGACCTGAATTAGAGTCGTAATGACTGCCACGGAGACTTAATGGGGTATACGTTGACCAATCAAAGGACCTTATAAATACTGACTCCTCAGGCCTTTTCTGTTTACTTAATATACAATTAATAATCTCGACTATATCATTATATTTATGTATTAATCCATGTAGGCAGTATTTCTCCTCCTTAGTTAACGCTTCGGTTGGTATTCGGACGAATCCATATTGCTATAAACATTTTTTAAAAAGAAAACATAAAAGGTAGCGTGTGAGCACTTGTATCGTGGATGCCTTACGTACCAAATAATATATATGTATTCATTCAACAATGGAAAAGTCTTTCACAAGTATACTGTAAACTGAATGAAGTTTGTCATCCCAACTATATTAATTCACTCAAGTAAACTCACAGAATTAAGGTAGTATATATTAGTATATAGTAAAGTAGATAGTATATATATACATATATATATATATATATATATATATATATATATATATATAGTATATTCCATATTAGTTTGTTTATTAGATGTACCACAGAGTGAAACAGTATTATTTACTGGATGACGTTTTGAACGAAATTTATTGTTCATAATCATATCACTTATAATCACAGGGCTTCTAAACTTGAGTTTTATAGTTTTCTTTGTCCTCTCCTATTTGTCGTCGTTGAGGTAGTAGAATTTTCCAGACATCTGGAACAGGTGTTCAATCATTCCTATTACACGTGTTTGCAGCTGATTCGATGAACAAAGCTTCCGTTATCAATCTCTTCATCCACCCTGTGACATTAGATTTTAAAACTGTCACCTTATCCCATCCATCCTATTGTATGGTTGTGTGTAACTGCATGTAGTGCTATGGCTGAACTATTTATTCTCTAGATTTCTTATCTTACTCGGGTCAAATAATCTAGATTTTGCTAGATTTTTATACTCGGCTAGTTTGACTGCCTCTGTCCTACTAGTTTGACCTATGTATTTGACCTGACAATCATTGCAGGCAGGGTATTAGATAAACTAAATTGTTTTGTTTTAAAGTCTCCACAGGCAGGATCCTTTAACCGACAAAGCTTGTTTCTAATTGAGTTTGTGGGCTTGACTGCCACTTTTATTCCTGCGTTGTTAAGAATTCTACGTAAGGTTTCCGAGGTTCCTTCCTTGTATGGAATTACTACTAATGATTTAGATTCCTTATTGTTGGTGTTGTCTTGTGCATATTCGACATGCATGTCATCACTAATATTAATATTATTATTATTACTATTATTATTATCACTATCACTGCTATCATTATTTGTTTTATTTTTATTTTTACATTCCCCTACATACTTTCTGATTAATTTATCAGGGTAATCATTAAGTTTCAAACTTCTCTTATATGCCCCACTTCCTGTCTTAGATTTTCCTTGGTAATACTTAGTTTTTGTACTCTATTATTCAAACATTTCACCAATCCTATTTTCACTGACATAGGATGGGATGATCGGAAGTCCAAACATCTGTTTGAATGTATAGGTTTCCTGTAAACACTAGTGTTTAACTTCCCATCTTTCCTTTTTACGCTACAATCTAACATTGGAAGTTCCCCTTCCTGACTTTCCAATTCATAAGTGAATTGAATTGCCTCCACCTTTGAGTTAATGTGTTCGAAAAATCTATCTATATCTTGTGTTCTAAGTACAGTGAATGTGTCATCTACATACCTCCACCATACTTTTGGGGTGGGGGTGAACGTTTCAATCGCTATGTTTTCCCACCTATCCATGAATATATCTGCCACAATCGGGGATATTGGTGATCCCATGGCAACTCTCATATTTTGTTTGTATATTTTCCCCTGGGATTTAAATACTGTGGAAGTCAGGCATAGCTGTACTCCCAGCATTATGTCCTCAAGTGGCACTTTCGTCCTAATTTCGAGTTCTTGGTCAGAAATGAATTCGTTTCTGACTGACTCTATAGACTCATTGAGTTAAATTAATCCGGTTACTCCATTAATGAGCAAGGCAATCTAGTAATCAGATTATCACAATTTAACTAGCGTGCACTATTATTTGACTTAAATAATTTCCAACTATTCGCATGAACCACTAATAAGATTCCCCTCTCAGACGGTGAAATTTGCAAATATTTCATATGAATGTTTTATCCGGATTGCTGATGTCTCCATATTCTGAAAATTGTGGAGTTGGTCGCTGTTGGTAAGGTATAACTAATTCTGTAGATTTCAATGTAGAAAAAAGTGCCCACTTAGACATTTAGAAACCAAAAAGACTGAGCGAAGAAATATTCACTTCACTTAATCCTTTTGCTTTCCACATTCTGTAGATTGTTGAAAACGGTTAATCAGTGTTAACATTGATGTAAAATCATCATTTTAGTTACACTGCACTGATAATTGTTCATTGTTGACACTCCAGGATAGAGCTTCCAAGGATAGATAAAGGCAATCTTCAATTTCGTATGGACATTTTTTATAAGTATAACTAACTGATTGACAAAATAGAAGAACATCATCGTTTCAAATCGACATACTACGATGCAACCGAATGACTTAAAATTAAAATCTTCATTAGTTGTATTAGGTGAGGCCTGTCATTACATTCTCCAAACATATGAATCTATCGTCACAATGATAGTCTATACACTTACTTGTTTTTGTCTTCTAATAAACATGATGTGACAATCATTTCAAGTCTTAGTTAATTTCACAAGAACATGGTCATCGGCTAATGCTTGTTTTTTTTCGACGATGTGATTTAGTTGCTTATTTAAGTGGCTTACCAATCCTCTTACAACTCTTTCCTGTTTTTGTTTTAGCTTGACATTTTAAAAGTTAATCGACATATTTTTTTTATTGAGACGAAAATGAAGCCTTCACAAGGATTCGAGTACTCTTAACACAGACACAAAGTCAAAGATATCACTGTTGACATATTCTAGTAGCAATCAGCCTGCAAAATAACTATGAAGGAAACACTTATTGTAACCCTTAAAATATCTGAATAGTGAAATAACAACAAATGAAACCAACTTACATAATATTACTTCACTTCTGCAATTTTTCACCGGTCACTTATATTCTAAATAATACTGTACCATATAGGATCCAGAAATTCCTATCTCATACCAGACGTCTGCATAAGAAATAGCAGTTGTTTCTGTGAGACATGTGCCTTCTGGTGCATGTACTCTACTACTTTTTCTCCTAAGATAACCAGTTCAGCACAGAAATGTAAGTCAAATTCTACAGTTTGTCGAATGATGTGAGAATTGAGTTGAATGGGCACGTTGTTTCGTACAAAATGATTCATTTGGTATTAGGATATTTTATTTTCAGTACAGTCTTTATTGTCCCACTGCTTGTCTACACAGTATTATCACATGTAATTCGGTTTACATGAAAAGTGATTATGTATTTAGTGAAAATTTCATTACTTTACAGACTTCAAACCTTTCACACCTGGAGACAAATATTTTAACTTATTTTTTACTGAGCATCTTTCTTTTCAGACTGAGGCATAGATGTTTACTTTTTATCATGCAAAATAGTTTCCTGAACAATGCCCTTTTATACCTGAATAACTAGAGTAGAGTTATTTTGTTTCAGTTGCTGATGTCGCCACACAAGTGACTGCTGTGTATTACGCTTTCATACCTAAAACTTCACCATAATCAAAGAATAACTAAGTCAAAAGCTTTCTATGGCATGTTACATGATACTAATAATAATAATAAGTTAAACGTAAATTTACCCATCCATCGAGTACAATAGTGGAACTACTTTTCTCATCCATATCCGGAATTCCCTTCATCACTATGTAATTGAATGCTATTAATGCTATGCTCCACATGATGGTAAGCAGAAAGAATGTGTAGAAGGTTTCATAGCGGAATGATTCTACGACTTCATGAATATAGTAGAAGTCAGCTTGTTTTCAAAAGAGAAAAAAGATGAAAATCATTATCATTCATACAATGCTCCATCAGTAAAATTACACAGTACTCAGTAAAATACTTACTTGGTGATAAGAAACAGTCACCGAGTTTTAAGCATCACTGGTAAGGCCTATCAAACTCTCAGACGGCATATATGAAATAGGAGATCGTAAATCTAAACAGTTTTTAGTGCTTTATCATGAAATATAACTTAAAACAAAAGTATAGTCTAAATATCAGCTTTTCATATATACTGAAATTTATTACGACCTTAGGCAACGACAACAAGAACAATTAACCTAGCCAATAAAATAATTCATTTGGCTAAATATTAGTCACCCTTAAAAACTGCGAACCAAATCCTTCATAATATCAGCATGATACACTAAAAATCGTATCGTTACATATACTTGCCTTATCTGATATTAATCTACTCAACCGGTTGTAAAGACTGTCATTATGTCTATGGGTTAATCAATTCAGTAGTGAACTAACCTGAAAGCTTTGTGAATATAAGCTAGAAGTAAAACGAAGTACTGTACCATCATTGATCTCAGTGCAGAGGAAGAATTAAAGCTTAAGTTTTGATTGATACAGTATGGATGTACCACAACACGTTTACTCATGTATTTTAAGGAAATGTTGAAAACATGGTACTCAATAACAACAGTAATAGACAACCACGTGAAAATCTATTCACCAAATGGTACTTCAGAAAAAACTAATAGGCTGGGAGTCGAACAAGCACTTAGTCAACGCTAAACGTTGTCTTCTGTTGTGAAATGTATAAAACCCATGATTTAGTAACATTTAACACAAGAATTTATCTGTCCTTAAATAGTTCACTTTTCAATGAAAAAAGGTGTTAGTGGTAACTCTCGGTTCAGTGATGAAACATCCTGTAATAAGTTTCAAAGTATTAAACATCTTACCAGGAACAATAAAGGATCCAGATTCATAAATCTGAATTTCAGTTCCACCTTGTACCACTTTACCTACACAAGTGACATTATGACTACCAACTGTTGAATATTCAGTTAAAACTAGATCATTCATTTTGTCAGTTTCACAACATAATCGTGAGTCAGGAATCAACCAAGTAATATCTATGTGTCCCCTTGGAAAGTGAGAAGATGTACATGACATTTTTGAAAATGTTTCATTGAACTTTAAGTCTAAATTCTTCGGTAGATCTAACAAAAAAATGTAAAAGAGACAAGAACGAAATATGCATTGGAATAAAAAAAATAACGACAAACAATTTTATCAAAACTAAGCATTTTATTTTCATCTTTAAGGCAGAATGAGAAAGTTAAAGTTCCATTAGTGTACAGACCAGAGTTTGTCCATTTAAAAACCAACTTGCTATGTTCTCCTTGCAAACTTATCTACAAATACAATAAAAAGGAGGTGTATATTTTTGTTTTAAAGTATCAGATGGTGTATCCAAAACTCTATTTGTTATTACTGATAAAGTGAGATTGAACTTCTTCAAGGACTCGAGTGTGTCCATAACGAAAGTTTGTCTACCGCTTTTGTTTTCATTGAAGACAGTGTATTTATTGGTTGCTTATTCTTTTATTATCTTTAATACTAATATATCAGGTTTACTCTTCATACCTTACTTCTGTTAATGGATTTCCAGCATCAATATATTTTATAGAACCTGGGTTCTGTGGTAGTGTGGCCAGTGCTACTGATAAGATTTATCAGTAGCTTATAAAGAGACATTTGTTAGCATAAAAATATCAAATAACATGGTGATAGATTTGGTGTCAGAGAAGGCAAACGATACAGCGTTGTGGAGAAACATGGGAGACATGAAAGCAACACAAAGAAAACAATATGAAGACCAGAAGTACTACAGCACAAAGATCTGTGCAAATGGTTTGTTGAAGATAAGGTGTACATAATTTGGATATATATAGAGATGCCAATATCCAAATAAACATTCTTTTATCAAGTCTTCGTCCTCTACTATTACAGTGGTATGAAATACCATTTTTATTTATTTATTTGATATATGACGTAGTGAAACAGTAATATTTAATGGATGGCGTTTCGAGCACAACTTACTGTTCAAAATCACATCAACTATACATGATATACATGATAGATAAATGATATGATTATTAACAATGAATTCTGTTCGAAACATAATTCAGTAATAATACTGTTTCACAGTGTTTTATATTATCTAAGTTAATTAATATGGATTGCTATTTCAACCATGGTGCGTCGGTGGTTTACCAGTAGAATGCTCGCCAATCACGCTTATGGTTCGAGGTTTGCTCCCGGGCCGACTCACTCCTAGACCTCATTAAACCGGTAGTAAGGCCAGTAAGGAGAGAAGTTTGTGTGTGACGCTAGCAACCCCACCCCATAAAAATGAAACCACTGCTACCGAAACTTCAAAGCTCAGACTTGAAGCCCTATGTTCCACCAGTAACATAAAGGAATTATATTTTTTTAAATAATTTCAACCATATCTTCTAATGCGAGCTAGGAGGTTGCCTGTCACTCATAAGTGAGACTGCATAATTTCTACAGAAACTTAAGGATATGGAGATATGGTGACAGTCAACTCATTATTTTGCATTTCGTGGACATCATAACTAAGATCACACTCTACAGTTTCTCAGTGTTACCCATTAAATAACAATTCTTTAGCTAAATATTTTTCCTGAATACTACGAACACTTCAACGTAAACTGTATATCTGTGCTCAACGTTAAACAATTATCTAGTACAAAAGATGCCACTAATTAGAATACTTCAAAAAAGTCAATTAAAAGTGTTCCGAAACTGAAAAATGAAGTGAAAAGCAGTGAATTTCCCCACCCATCCTATTTAAATAATAAAATTCAAACAAAGAGAAATAGACAAATGTTTCAATATTTGATAAATTCATTGCACTTCATTGTTTTATTTTGCCTAACCTAAATTCTAGCTAATGTAAATAAATTATTGGAAACGGATTAGGATTGGATTAATACACTTGGAAATATTCAAAAAATACCTTGTCCGTCAGAAAACCAAAAGTTAATAATATAACCTTATTTCCCAGGGCAAGCCTGGAGAATTGTACTAGATAATGAAAGTAACTACCCCAAAATTACTTTTAAAAGGATAATCGATCAAATAAAAGTAACAACACGATAATTATGGACATGCAAAATAAATAATACACTTGAGAATGAAGTTCACAGAGGCTTTTGCTTCATTGAGCCTTGCACTGTGCTTCTACATTAGAAATAAATAAATTTGAGATGGGTATAAAGTTACTGAATTGTAATTTGAACCGGAAGGAAAAATAGAACAAAGTATATTATTACTTCAAATATGTTCTCTGGGTAATGTAAATTCAACTGAATTTATAATGGACTTATACTGTTAAACTTCATTCAGAAATCAATACCACACCTCATATGGGATTTCCTTATTTTTAACAGGTGGTAATTGATAAATCATTATTATTCCTTTGGGTTCCTCGTGGAACACAGGGTTTCGCCAACGAATCTGCACTGCGGCCAGTTATCTGCACCCGCCCACAAGCTTTCGTCTCTTACTCGCACGATCTCAGTTTCACACTTTGATCAACGGCAAGCTTGTTGTTTCCAGCTATGATGCCACTCGACGGTTTGAAGTGTGGTCTTACTCAGTGGTCTCCTCAGAGTGTACCAGTCTGTCTCCACCTTCTTCGAAATATCTGTTGGGTGACAGGTTGTTAGTTGATTGGCTGGTTCCCAGAGTTACCTGTTGCTTATGATTTCTGCTCGGCCGTCTGATCTTCAGTATCGAGATAGCGAGGCAGATGCTGGTGGAAGTCTGCAGTCTCTCTGAAATGCTCTCTCTCCGTGACGAGTCTGTCAACCATATAAAGGCACACACCGATTGATTGACCGACTGACTGACTGACTGAGTTGACATTGGTGTTGAAAAGTCGAATCATATTCCTTATTCTGGCTGCACAGATTTCCACACTGTTTTCAGATTAGTGATGGTGTGTCTTGGCTTTCTGATCCTCTCCTTCCCACTTCTAATCTGCATCGCCTGTAGTTGAAAGGATGCTGCCTATGTGAGTGGAAGAAACGCCTTCCCTTGGATTTCTGACAATCATGGTGGTTAGTGGTTGTTGTTGTTGTCGGTTGTTTGAGTATCTTCGTCACCTTTGTCTTCTCAATGTTCATTTGAACTCCTATTTTGGATGCCTCTTCTGTCGAGTTTTTCGTTTACGCCTCTTACTTTTCGAGTTTGTATGACATTAGACATAAGTCATCCACAAAGTTTCGATGTTCCACAGTCTTTTCGTTAGTTCAAAGTTAGTCCGTCTTCTAACTCCCCATGGTCTACTGCGTGATCCAGTCCACCAACATTAGGAATGTCACCGGTATCGTTGACAAACAGAAAGCAATTAAAGATCGAACAGAAGTGTGATTCTTAATAATTGGGCAATTCACGTCGAGCAATTTAAATCACCTAACACGATTCAGAACAGTATTCTACGGATAGGGGAGGCTTATTTGTTTTTCCATTCATAGCTGTTTCCCAACCTAACACTGTTGTAATTAACAAAGCTCGAGGAAGGCGATGACCAAATATGTACAGTATTTGCCAGTGCAAAACGCACACTTAGCATTCCATAAGATTATTACTCTCATAAGCACCGCTTAAATACAAACTAATAAAAAACAATTTCAAGTGCTGATTTGCAAGGGTTTTATTAGTCTCAAGGTAAATCAGGGTTAGAGAATCGTTGAAAACCAGGGAATACTAAGCAGCAGTACGCACTCGTGGCCTTACAGACACTAACTTACGAGGTGAGCCTATTGACTGTTCTGCCATTGAAACGTAGTTAAGTGGTCCATGACTTCTACCTTTTACCGATTCGCAATTTACGGTGCCACCTCAAGCCGATATTATTGGGGAGGGTTTTTCCTCATCCCCAACGCTCTGGAATCTACTGGTAGCGACTTCTTGATCGAAGAACTACAGGAAACTTCATCCTGGAGTCAGTTACCATTGGGCATCAGATTAGTCTTCAAATGTTTTCAGTGCGTCTCTAAATGATATCAATCCATGAGCATACTTGAGAATAATAAGTAAGACCGAAATCACAGAATAGTATGTTTGAACAAAGTTTTACCATTGATGGAGAAGTAATCAGGTGTTTGTCACACAGCCAGCTCCGTCCTTCGTTTCAGTCAAACAGAAATTAGGATTCAGCAGATAGTTGAAGTAGGTAAATTTTATTTGCTGGCCCTACTAAATGGTCAACTGAAAATTATAGAAATGAAATATAATCGGCTGTGTGAGATGAGTCTACTGATTTGCATTTGTAAAAGATTGACGTGCAGACAAATAAAAATAGAGAAGGGAAAACTGATCCAGTGAGATGACAATGTAATCATAACTAATAAAAGCTCTATCAGCATTACAAAAGTAAAAAAGTATACTACTTGCTATTAATAAGTAGAATATGTGTCAAACGAAACATTATGAAGGAGAAATATATTAAATGTAAGATTTTGTGTGTAAAGAAGCTGAATTTAACACACACGTTAAAATAAAATCTTTTGTGAGATCCATGCAAAATGCCTTCATTTACTCTTTCGTAGCCATAGCTCTAAAGATAGTTATTAACACAATAAAAGGCTGGTGCTATGCAGAATCTAAAAAACAGTGTTTATACCGTCCTAATGCCATTATGAGATCCATAACTATAACGTACATCCACTTAGCAGACAATTCGATCGGGTGGACATCCCCGTTATTTTCTTCCCGATTGGTTTATTTGCCTCCTGTGACTGTAATGAATCAGATATTCAAAGAGTGCAAGTGGTGTAACCTCAAATCATTAGCAATGAAGCATTCACACTTCTCTTTTACCAATGCCTAATCTCATCTCCTTATAAGTTCTGCTTTTTGTGGTTTTGTCCTATGCTGAATATCTCTGAATACTGTCCACATTTCTTGCTTGTACTCATTGTCTTTTACCTGCTTTGGGATGACAAGTGCGCTAACTACCACACCTATGACGTAATGTAGTTCCCATTCTAATATTGTCTGTTCGTGTGCATGGCCCTCAGTTGTCAATTTTGCGGGAAGACATACCTCTTGGCTCCTCTCCTCTTGTAGCTTGACACCTTTATCTTAGATGAATTAGATTTAGTAAAATGGTATTTCTAAGAGG